CTACAATTTTCATATTCAGAAGACTTTTGCTCATTCTTTTTTGCAAAGCAGTTCAAGCTAAGCAATTTTCAAGTCTTTCCACTGATTTTCATCCACAATTAGATTTAGGCCTAGACTTTGACTGAGCCATTCTAATACACCTAAACAAATGTTTATATATGGGACAGAGCTGATTCTCTGTCCCACTCTGAAGTCTTGTGAAGTTTTCTTTCAGTATTACCCTCTATTTAGCTCCATCCATCTTCCCATCAGCTCTGAGCAAAAGCATTTGCCCAACACGAGTGCATGAATGACCAAGGAGATAGTGCATTGTGGCTGATGTCCAGTGAAAAGTTTCTGTCGGGTCTTCCACACATTTGCCTTGGCCCCTAATAGGCGTACAGCATTTTACGAGTAATGTTTAGTCGTGAAATGCACGACTAAACATTGATTTGTCAGTAGATTCTCACACCTAATCTGTGGCTCTTTGTATCCAATGCTTCGGTGGTCTTGTGGTCTTGGCCGTTTCTTTGATTTGCGCTGTCCTTGGAGATCCTTTTCCCTTAAGGTGGATGGTCATGTCTTGGCAGAATAGCGCTTGAGACATACTCTTTCATGAGATTTCAATTTGGACTGGCGCAGACTTATCAAAAAATATAATTCAGTACATTTATGTCTGTTTTTTATAAAAAAAAAAAAAGTTTACTGTCGATTCAGCACTTTTTTCTGTGTCGAATCAGATCTGTATCGGCCAGATACAGCCAGACTGAACCTCAGATATCTTTTCACTTCTACCGAAGAAGTGAAAAGACTGTATCAGTGCATCTATGTTGTTAGCATGTGGATAATACTCAGGACAGGAAAATAAAACTCCCCTTCAAAATCTTCCACATGCTGAAGCTTGAGCAGCTATTCAAACAGAGGGTCCTACTTTTGCACAGATGGTCACACACTTATTTCTTATTTTGGGAGAGAGAGAAATACTCCATTTATATGTGTGTGTGAGTGTGAGCGTAATCACTAAAATTACAGGGGACGTAATGGAGCTCAGGGAGCGTCAGCCTCCTTGGCTATATTGCTCACAAACCATGATAGCATTGCTGTGGTTTACCACTCATATTCATGCCAAAGACTTGAAATACCCGCTAGTGGACCACTTTTATAAGTTTTACCCCATACACATCTTTGACGGCGTACAAAGTGGAAATTTATGGCTCCCAAATTTAGTTTATTCTGACTGCAGCCGTGTCGGGGAAGCTGAGATTTAACATTGGAATATTTCAAATAAAATCAGCTCAGAGAAATATTTTACTGTTTTGGGAGTTTTTTTTCTAATAAAAGAAAACATTTATTATGAAGGTTTAAGGCTAGTCTACTCTGCTGCTCAGTAGGGTACAGTGCTGTAAATTATTGCGTCTTAAAAAATAAGCATATGTGATTCTATCAATGAGTCATTCTCAGGAAAAGTGGAAAGAAAACAGTCTGAGATGGCTTTTTTTGTCCCAGCAGCTGCCTCGACCTGTAATTTAGGATTTATTTCAGGTTAGTTTTCCAAGATATGACCCATACCACCACCGAGCTGGAAGTGTTTGTTTGTTCTGCTACAACCACGTAGCACATCTGTCAACATGTGGATTATCAAATCAGAAACAGTTTTGATTTAATTCATAAAGCAGAAGAGAGTTCAAGTAGTTCTTACTCCAAAACAGATTTTCAAAAGTTGTGATCTCTTTCATTGACCAATGAGACACAACTGACTTCCAAGTGGTCTTTATAAGAACCATTAAAGACGTTTTCAGACCCTGTATGGTTTTATTTTTGTGACTTTATTTAAGTTTATTCCTTTGTGTTTTTTTTTTTTTTACTACAAACTTCAGTCTGATTTCACCCTTACACATTCGGCTGCTATTCAAGCTGACACTGGCCAAAAGGCAGCCTGCACTCCGGTTTACAGTCCATCACACGGTTGACGTAAAACTGATAGACAACACCTTAGAATCACAGTAATTGACCTGACTGTGTGTGATTTTGTGTGTGTGTGTGTCTTCTGACCGTGGGAGGAAAACCTACACGTCCACAAGGAGAAAATGCTGCTTACAGAAAAGAACCAGCAATCAGGCCAAAAACGCATTTTCAGTGCAATCCTTGGACATAAGCCAGTTGCAATGATTCAATTAATCGCATGATGAATTAAAATGAGCTCGTCAATGTCCATCCTGATGATTAGTATTTTCAGGGCAATTTTGTACAGTGATTTCAATATCCATTTTATTTATGGCTTCTCTTATTTCAGTTTTATTTATTATTTTTGCTTTTGTTTTTTTTGGGGATGTTTAAAGTATCTTCCATTTCCATTGTTTAATATTCTTTAAAAAAATTTAAGTTTATTTCTCTTGGAGATGGCAAGCTTGTATTATGCTATCGTCAATATATCAGTTCTCAAAACAACAATATTATCATTTGTCACATTAATAACTGGGACAGTTTATTGTCCAGCAGAATTTGTTGTTATGACAGGCCGGGTTGGGCATGAAAGTCATGAATATGTTTTCAATTTTACTCTGAATGTATTCCTCATATGCAGATAAATGTTAAAAACTGGAACTCAGGTCAGTCTGTGAGACCCACAGAGTGAGAAACCCTCACTTCACTCAAAGTAACACATCACAGTCCAAAAATATAAACCAAAAACTAATTACTGTCACTTAAAACAGAAAACAATTATTCTTACTGCTGCTAAAATAATACAGCATGTTGATTGCAACAGCAATTGTTCTTAAACTTTTTATAAAACCACATTTTCAGGTTGCTGTTTTATATCATAGAAAATAAACAAACAAAAAAAGCATTCTGATACATTTGATGGATACACTTTGGTCATTCGGGGATGCACGGTGGTTCAGTTAATACCATTGTTCCTACAGTAAAGAAAAAAGTTGGAGATTTAACATTGGTGACTGGCCAAAAAACCGCAATCGGTACACTGCTACTTGGTACACTTTGGGGTAGTAACAGTCCGTTACCTCTTAGGAACCACATTCTTTGACACATTTTCCAATTGTTTCTGCCTATAGCACTGACATGCTCTTTAATGTTCAAAGCCTGTTTTATATGTCTCAAAACAAGACAACAAAAGCTACGGGGTGGGCCCAGAGTCAAATTAGTGGGCTCATAAAAAAGCAAGAATAAAGTTAATCTATTGCTTCCCTTGTTTCATCTAGGTCCAGAAAATCGTACCTGCTAGTTAATAAGATTCTCTGACAATTAGCAAGAGGAGCAGTCTGAGTGCCCCGTGGTGAAAGTGTGCAGCTTCAGAGGCAGAGCAAAACCCACAGTCATGCACAAGAAATCTGCTTTGTCTTACACTAGGAAACAAAGACATGCATTAAACACAGAAGTTACTTCTACCAAGGGAAGGAAAATCAAACTAAAAATCCTTGGCATGCACTATTTATATGAGGGTAAACTAGTGTGTCTTTCTTTGTAGTTTTAGCATAAATGATCTCTCCAGAAATGCTGAAAGTTAACTTGTTTTTGTAGAATGCAGCTGCTGTGAATTTCAACCTGATGTGAAGGTCATACAGTATTAGGACCCCAGGATTTCAGTGATGAGGTAAACACAATAAAACACTGAATTTTACAGATATACAGTCGTATTTTGGCCACTGCAGCTCCCGCACCAGCCGTTACCTGGTTACACAGACTTGGCTTGTGCGTCTGTTCAGCTCTCCCTTCAACACAGACAGAATGAATCAGTCACCCATGGCGGAAAAACTTTCTCAAACTCTGACATCTTCCCCAAAAAGTAAATTCATACCTTCTAGCTTAATGCAAGCTTCAGGGCCACCAAGGTTTATAAACGAGAGAATATATTTTTGAACGTTTTGTCAGCATGATTGGAGGAACAAAGATACAATGATTACTCAAAGACACACAGGGGAAGCTAGCTAGCTGCAACACCTCAGTCCAGTTGATGGCCATGATATACAAAGATTGTAAGCTGTCAAAAACTATAGAAGAAGTACCTAGGTACAGGCAGTTATATTTGGTAACTCTTGAACATTCAAATAAATCCGAGTTGATGGTACTTATTGCTCTGTCTCAAATCAGATATTCCTTTGAGGAAAAAGACAAACTTTGATCAGTTTTGGTAAAGCAGTGCAAACGGGGAATAAGTGGGAGCTACATAAGTATTTTGGTGTTGAGTTCAACTCTAAGGCATATTTTCGTCCCTATTAAAAAACGAGATTCACGCCAGCCATGTTTAGTCCGCTTTAATCGAACTCTTTTTCGTCTCCCTAGAAAGTTGGGTCGGTTTAGGAAGGTGTGAATCAAACCAATCAGTTCACCAAAGATTCAACCAAACCGAGGTCTTGGTTCAGTTTAAGTGAACTCTGGTGCAGTTTGAATGCATATGTGAATGTAAGAAGACCAAAGACCCACCGAAAGCAGGAAGCGAGGTACAGCGCAGGGCATTCTGGGTCAACAGAGCCAAAATAAAAGCCCGAGTCTAGCAATACAGGCAGAAACGGTGCATAGTCCTTTGCCATGTAAAAAGGCGAAATAATACAAATGCTAAAAAAAATGACGGGGAAACAGTTTGACGTCTTTTAAACCTAATGTTCTGTTGAACCACAGCAGTCTGGCTATTGATTTGTTCTGTTTTTTTTTTTCATTCACAACATAACTACATACTTTTTGGGATAATAAATAAGAGTAAAATGGGAAAAAATGGAATCAGAAAAATTTAAATGGAAAAAGTTGAATTTGTGAACAAAATAAAACTAAAGTAGGAAAATAATAAAACAGAATTCTCAGCATTGCATTTCATTATGCGATGCTGAGTTCATCAGTAAATAGGGAATCATGCTTCTTGGCAAAGTAACTTTTGTTGGATGTTGTTCCTCTCCTTGACATTTGTTTTCCCACTTCATTAATAGACAGTCACAGATAATTTTCCTGTTTACTTTCTGCTGTGGCAATAACACTGGAACCTTCTTTATTGTGTCTTTTTAATTCAGCAGTTGTGAGGAGCAATCAGGTGGTCGTCTCTGACAAAGTGAACGCGGTGCTGGGGAAGAACATTACGCTTGGCTGCAGGATCCTGGTGGAGCCCAACCTGAGTCTGACACAGATCTCCTGGGAACGCCGTCTTCCCTCAGGTCCTATCACCTTGGCAGTGTTCAACCCCGAGTACGGAACCTCGTACGCCCCGGAATACGGCAAGCGCATCTCGTTTGTGTCCCCGTCCATACGGGACGCAACTATCATCATCGAAGGAGTTGGTTTTGCTGATATCGGGTCATACACCTGCAAAGTGGCGACTTTTCCTCTGGGCAACACGCAAGCATCGACCTTTGTTAATGTTTCAGGTAACGTACAGTATTATTGTTGGCTAATACATCTGGATTATTTTGTTTTTAAGATTAATAATTTACAGAGCAGTTCACAGCACAGCAGTTTATTGTGGTAGAACAAAGCTTGAGCTAACTGTTTTCTCTGGAGAAATGAACTGCTCCTTAAACAATGCCTAACATTCAAACTTCTTCTTAGAAAGATGCCAGTTGTTCTTAAGAATCTGCAGCTGAGAGAAGCACCTTTTGTTTGACCTCAAATGTCTCAAATTTCAATCATTCAAAAACTTATGTCACTACTGCCTGAACACACTATTTTGAATGTTTTGGTGTGTCTGACCTGTTGCCCTTCGAACAGAATGCAGGAACTTCAGACTGAATCTGAATCAGACGCAGCAACAAGTTAATTGCAGGGTGTGATTCAAAATGAGTCTCATAACGTTCAGTTACATTTTACCAACTTGGATGAAAATTGAGATTTGGGACGGGGTAAAAAAAAAAGATGTTTGCTCTTTTCTGACTTTTATTTTTCTTCTTTAAACATTTTTGACATCAAACTCAAATTACCATATGTGGTTCATAACGAGATAATCTTGCTAAACAGACAGAAAATAATCCACTTGTGATCTGAATTGTTGATTTTCAACTGAAACAATGATGAGAAGTTATTTTAAAAAGAGACTGTGGACCTCCTAAAGATAGTTTTCATCTTGAAATCATTTTGTCACTTTTAAAATGAGCAAAACCATGTTTTGCAGTGGCTAAAAAAAGTAGTTTCAGGCTGTTTATTTTTGTGCTTGAAAAAAAATTGGCTTTAATATGTATTACAAGGTAAGAAACCCCTGATCAGTGCACTTTGCACTTTTAACTTTACTAAATACTTACTCCCCTTTGTTGGAAATAAACATTTTTTAACCATATAAACATACACTCATTTGAAATATGAACGTATTTGAACTGAATGACCACATTTCCCAAGAATCTTATTGTTGAACTCCTGCTAATTAAAGGTTAAACTGCAGTGTCCTCATATTTCTGTGTGGAATACAAATTTTTTTTAATCTTCTTTTCTTTCTCTACACTCAGCATATGCTTTAAGCTCTAAATGTGACTCGGTGTTGAGAGTAGGAGATTGCGTATTGGCTGCAGCTTCTTGTCCTCCTCCAGAGACAGGAGGAGACTCTGATGTTTAATGAGTGGCACATTAAGTATTGCTGCAACAGCCGCAGTGTCTGGAACCTCGTGGAGCTCAATTACACCTTCCTGTCTTCTCTGAGTAGATTCTCAGGCTGTTTTATTTTTTTGTGCTCATAGGGAAAGCATGTACGCACATACCCGAACACACACCTTCTTTACAATTCAGATGTAATTAGGGTGTGATTACAGAGGAAGTATGTGTCCTTTTCAGTCTAATATGCAGCGTGTGGGAATTAGGTTACCCCACTGGGTAATTTTCTCAGACGTGGAACATCACAGTTTGAAGAGTTAAACGCAGTAAGTTTATATTCCCAAGCACCCTTTTTATGTTCTTCGTGTTTGTTTTGACGTGTATATGTTTAAAATTCCTCTTTTCATTATAATGAAGCTCATAATTCCTCTGCGGCTGTGTGATATAGCAGCAGCAGCAGCGCATTGCAAGATTATTTGTACCTCACTTTTCTGGCAAATGAAAATCTGAATTATATGATGTGCATATGTACAGTATTCACTCTTTGATAGCTTGCATAAGACCCAGTCCAGTCAGTTCAGAAGTCACTTAAAGTAAAACTGTTTAGGGCTGTGTGATGTAAACCCGTACCATTCAGTTCACCTCAGGAGGCCTGCACTGAGACGGGGTCAGGCAAAAAATATTGCAGAACTTAACCAATTTAGACAAAAATGTCAAAATTCACACTGAAACATAAAGCTAGAGCCCCAAATAACCTATGTAGACAGTTTATCAACAAAAGATAGGTTGATTCTGGGTTAATTACACTTTAAAGAGTAAGCATAGAGCAGTTCCTCTGTGTTTTTAGCCATTGTGTAAATCAAGCTGGAAGATGGATGGAGCTAAACACTGGGAAGAAAACCTGGTAGATGCTGGAAAAGACTCACAACTGGGATATAGTTTCACATTCCAGTGTGACAACAACTCAAAACATATGCCCGGAGCTACAGTGGAATGTTTTAGATCAAGGCATATTCATATGTTAGAATGGCCTAGAAAGTCCAGACCTAAATCCAATGCTGGATCTCTGACAAGAGACAAAGGTTGCTATAAAAATATCAATTCATCAATGTTGTGCAATCCATTTCTTTCCAATTCAGTGTGGATTCAGGTAAATTGATTGCATCCCACCAGTCAGAGGGTTCACAACACGGTGAGCAACGAGATCCACATCCTGTTTTATAGTAAATCATTGCCCTTCCTACATTTTCCACGCTTTCTGTTTGTTGGACAAAGATGGGAAGTGGACGGTACGGTAGTAATGTTGATTAGCTAGCTGAGCAGCTCGCGCCTTTCCTTAGACACCAGGAACCCATCAGATACCTGTCAGTGTGGCCACCAAGCTCTCAAATGTGAAGTTGTCTTCTTTTTGAGTTTACTGGCGGTTGGCAGACAGCTACCTGGTGTGCAGTCCCATTGACTTTAAAATGGAATAAAGAACGAAGGAAACCTCCTAAATACGACCATGATCATAGAAAAGGATTGTTGTTAAAGCCCTTTACCTCTAACGTACTTTTCAATACTTGATTTATGCCATGTGTGCTGTATTTACTTCCTTTTCTACCCATTGCTTTTATATTTTTTCCTACTGAGATTCCGTGTTTGATTCCTGTTTATATTTTAAGGATCATGAAAAGCACACGGCTGCATTTTCATTCCTTTCAAATTAACTACAGTAACAACATGGAACAGCCAAGACCCTGAGTAATGGACAAAAGTCACGGCACGCTTTGTAATGTTTAACAGGTGCACTGGATATTGGCTTCATTTCAGAAGTCACACTCTCCATGCAAAACATCTCCAATATGGGCAATGTCATGAGAGAGAAACACAAATATTTATCCATACAATAGCTCTTCTGGCTTGGGTTTTCTTTTCTCCTATGGTCGACAACAGGAAAGGACAAAAATATTTAGGCAGCGGTTCAGCCGGTAAAACCCCTCTCGTGTAAGCAGAAGGAAGGAAAATATTACCCTAAGTGAATAAGCTACAATGACCCCTTTGTTTTTAACTACTGGCAGGTCAATGAAAATCTACTGAGCAGTTCAGTTACTTGAAAACAAAACAAGGATGCAATTAGGTTTAGAAAGTGAATTTTACAGATAAGGAAACTACCGCTGCGTTTTCGCAAGGAGTATAAGCACCGAGAACCTATTTTCGTCCCAAAGCGCTCTCCTTCGCCCTCTTCATGATTGGACTCTTTGCTCAGTCTTTAAATGGCAGTTTTAAGTCGGCTCAAAATGAACTAAGTGTCGTATAATTTACTTGCAATAAAGTACTTTCAGGTCTGCCTTAACAGAATTCTGGATTTCCCCCGGGGCAAAATGTCGCATGCAAAACGCTGTTGTTTTGTTATAGCATCGCAAGTTGTTTTTTGTTTGTTTGTTTTTTCTTACATGCAATAAAAACTGTTCTGTTGTTTTGCTTCTTTTTCACGCATCCATTTTTTTAAAAAGCGCAGTTTCCCAACAAGATCAGATGTTGTGTGTGAATCGAAAAGTCATTGTAGGCATATTGCTGAGGGGAAATTATTGGCCTTTTCCCACCCAACACTTTTCCACTCATCCAGAGGGTTCCCGTCACCACCCCCCAAAATGAACATGTCTGTCTGACTTGGTTATTCTGATGTTTCAGCTGGCCGGCCTGCCAACATAGAGCAGCTACTGTTTTAAAGGTCAGAGGGCTGCAAGGAGGGGCAGAGAGAAGTGAGTGAAGAATGTGAGGGCGGAGCCAGGAGGTCAGCGTCTCCGCCCCTTCTAAAGGCGTGCATGAGGTGTATGGTTATTTTTGGAAAAGAAGAAAAGCGTGGTAATGGTAGTTGTTTTTTTCCCCTTTGTTCCGATTTTGCTGCTGCACCTCCTTCTTGGCTGATGATAAGGAGCAAGATGGGAGATTTTTAATCTAACAGCTTGTAGGATTTAGCAGGCAGCAAAAGAGGAGGTGGTGTACTGCAACACGATGCAGACGAAATAAACCAGAGCACACTGTAACCTGCTTTTAACTGGGCCTGTTGTTTACTTCTGTTCCCCTCCAGTAAACGTTTTCTGCTCGTCTCCTTTTTGTCCTTAACTCTCTTGACTGTCAGTGCTGACAGTGTGTGGTATGTTGTTTTATTTTTCTTTTCATTTTTTCTGTCCAGAGCATTGTTGAGACGAGTTCGCTCTTTGCATAATTCTGGTCACGTTCCTCCTACATAGACCTGCTTGTCGAGTCATTCTCAGAGAAGTGGTGTAACATCGTCCCAGCGCAGAAACAATCAGATGGGGGGCGATTGTTGTGTTAAACGTAGTCAAAAATAAACAGCACAGAGCAGAGTCTCTGTGCGGTCTGGAAAAATATGAAGTCGTAATTTAATAATTATTTATACTGTCCCATTCAATAATTTAGAATATTATTGGAAAGCCTATTGATTTCAGGGGCTTTATCACTGAGTGAAACACATTATGTAGGTTCTTCCTGTAACCAAATGTATCATTTTTAATATGAATATTTCACTAACAAAGTGCTTTCCTTAAAAAAAAAAAAATATGCCGCAATCAAGTGAACATTTTGTGTTTATAGTTACGGCGACTAAATCAACACAAGCCTGATGAATTAATTATGGTACAAACAAATTTAGAAAACAGGAGTCCAAAATGGTTTCTTTTCTATCATGAAACACTTTCAATGTTTTATTTTAAAAAGAATCAGAATTTTTATTAACTAATTGTTTAAGTTACCAGGTTTAAGAGGGTTAATTACACACAGATGAAGTAGGAATGGACAATAAATCAATAGCAATATAATTCACAAAAGACACAAGATCAATACCAATAGATAATACTCCTGATAGAATATTTAATATGTAGAGTATTAATGTAGGTAGTGGAAAGGCTTTGGCTGCTCTACCTTGAACTGACTCGATCTTTGGTTACCTAGCAACAACTTGTTGAGTAATTTGCGCAGCAGCTGTTTCAGGTTTCTCCTCCAAGACTCATAACTGCTAAAAAAAAAAACAACAACAGGAAAGGTCATGCCACCAGTTTTTAAATATCTTGAGTATTTCTGATATTTAAAACACTAAGGCGACTGGACATTACTAATTCATGCATGAACACAAAAAAATCACTAATAATTGTTTCATCATCTATTCAGTTTTTGTTGTTGTTGGTTTTTTCTCCTCCTGTAAACAGTGGAGCCCAAGGTGTACGTGTCTGCAGGCCCCGCAGCTCTTCTCGACGGCGGGGACGAGGCGCTGGTGGCCACCTGCATCGCGGAGCGCGGGCGGCCTGCCGCTGAGGTGTTCTGGGAGGCTGAGCTGTACGGGCGATCCGAGAAGCAAACTCAGGAGGAAGTCAATGGCACCACCACGGTGCGCGTCAACTACATGTGGAAGCCCCAGAGCTACGCCCAGGGAAAGATGCTCACCTGCGTGGTTCGCCACCCGACTCTGCAGACAGAGTTCCGCATACGCTACAAGCTAAATGTGCAGTGTAAGTCCTGAATCAAGACAACTCACATAGCAGTGAGAAAAATCATGATAACTTTTTTTTGATACAGTTGAAATCAGAAATATAGATACACTGAATAAAAATACATTTTTTTCTCACGGTCATTTGTTGTATTATCTTAGTGAGAGTCACCAAAAATAATTTCTATTTGTTACACAGAAACAAAACTTGAAAAGATTTTTTTTGTATATCTTTTTGTAACTTTTTTAAATTCAAAAGTAGAGTTAAATACAATTAACACACACAATAGATGCTCCATTTGATATATGAAACTTTACTAGAAATAGCCTTCGGTTTATTTAAAATGTAAAGGACACAGAGACAAAAAAGAAAGGAAAAAGGAAAGTTAGACAGGTGAGGAAAAGGTTGAAAGGAGATGGGAGAACAGGAGAGGAAGAAGCATAGAGAGAACACAAGTCAACACCCAAGAAGTCTGTCTCCAACCCTGCAGAAAGAGAAAACCAGAACCATAAACAACATATATGTAACAATAGTTATAACTTTACCGAACATCACACACTACAAGTTAGTACAAGGTGTATTTTGGCAACTGCGTTCCAACATTTGGTGTATCTGAAAAACATCCAAATCTAAATGTTTAGAAACATTTGTCAGTCGAGCGCCCGGACTCTCTGTGTTTTACAAAATCGGAAATACTTCCAGTACAGTTGAATTTCTCTATTTGTTTTGACTTGAGCGAAAAAAAATATCAGGAACTTTTTTCATTCAGCTGACTGCTAGATGATAAGCAACATGTAGGGGTGGGGCAGCACTGTGTTTCCCTAAGCTGCTTTCACCCCAAGAAAGCTTCAGTTGCTCAGGGACGTTCTCTGCCGTCTCAACGGAAGAATTTCAAACTATAAGATCATAATTGAAAATGTACGAGTTAACTTTTGAAATTGTTTAAAATCTTAATATCAAAACGGTTTCATGCCTCCCTGCAACAATAGTTACAACAGTCCCCTTTATTTTTATAAGAAAGTAACAGTGTTGATTAAAAGTAAACTGAAAGTTTGGATTTGAAGTAATTTCTATTAAATTAAAGTCAAAATTGCGAAGGTACCCCATGCTTCCTTAACAAGCAGACTGTTAGTCTGTTTGTTCTGTATGAGTGGAGACTAATGAAGGTGTTTTATGAAATATTGATCAAGCCTTTTGAGCAACACAAGTAGCAAGAGGCTGCCGGGCGCAGCGGATGGAGACACACGGAAACCAAGGTTAATGCAGGAAGAAAGAGGCTCTCTAGTTCAATAAATCATGTCAAGTGCAGAGGCAAGGGGTTTTAAGTGCAAAAGAAGCACATTTTTGAAATGTGTGGAATAGGTTCAGTAGACGCTGCAAGTAGTGACATCTTCGCCTGGAATGCAAACACTTCCTTCGTTGGCCCTCTAGAGAAATCAACAGGAAAAATTAGATATCTGTGTCACTGTTTGCCATGTTTTATTACATTGCCGTGCGTTGCGCTTCAGTTATTTCTTCCCGGTGACGGTGCAGGTATGGGTTATTATGTGGCAGGCAGGATCTGCTGACTGACTCTGCTGTTTTCTAACTTTTCCATCAGCAAACGCTCATTTGTTTGCTCTCCTAGCTTGATTTGACCAACAGATGCTGTGGCCTGTTACCATCCTGTGATTACAATACATGCTTTGTTCCTTCTGGAAAAGTTTCTCACCTGGCTGCTTGAATTACAGAGACTAACTGTGAAGCTTTAGTCTTCTACCGCTGGAAAAATAATTTAAGTACAAGACATGATTCAATTCTGTTAAAATTAAATGTACTTCATTTATACCAAACGGAAATTTAAATGTTAACTCACATCTTCCAAGTAGTTCTTGCAGACAGGAAGAATCTCCAGTAGCAGTCTTGATCATAGTCTGATGATACCTCTGACTTTTACGACATGTTAGGAGCTCAATTTCCGAACGGCAGAGATGATATACTGCAACATGTGCTTAATGACACCATTAGTTCACACCTCCTTTGCTTATGACACTTTGAATTACATCTGTAGGTGTTCTCACATAGGCCCTTTTTGGTCTGCTTTAATCAAACTCCAGTTCAATTGCCAAGAAAGTCTGGTTCATTTCAGAAGGTGTGAATGTGTCATCAAAGTCTGATGTGGACAAAATACAAACCTTGGTCTCTGTTCGGTTAAAGAAAACTGTGGTGCGTTTTGAATGTTTATGTGAACACCAAGCGCACCAGAGACTGCTCCAAAGGCAGCAAGTGTCGTATAGCGCAGGACATTCCGTTAAATGCAACTGAAACAAATGGGTGACTCTAGCGATAGTAGGAGAAATGATTTGAGGTCTCTTGCCAAAACAAAAAGAGAAATCCTACGACTGCTAAAATCTGACGCCAATCTATTTGTTCACATTTCACAAAGAAGCAAGTTCTGCTCAGCGTCTTTAGAGGTTTTTGGGTCGTTTCCCTCAGTGGTTCTTGGTGGAGCGCCATCACAGACGAAGGGATGACAGATTTCTCAAAGGTTTTGGTTCATTCGCAGTTTGAAAGCTAACTGCAGCAGATGAAAAAGTTGTGATTTTCATCCCCAATCGAACCACGTCGACCGGGCTGTCAGGAGTGAAAACACTCGCTGTCTGTCCGTCTGATTAGAAAGCTGGGCAGAGAGACATTGGAATCCATATGATCGTCACCCATTGTGATTGAGGGAAGAAATGGTTTGATTTTCCTCCTTCTCTTTCTGTTCTTTGGTCTGCATCCTTGAAGCCTCCTGTTGAATTAGGGGTCATAGTTCAGATGTTAATTAAGCTTTTGAAATTCTAGCAAGCTGCCTTCAGTTGTAAAAGCAATGCCTTGTTGCCACGCTCAAGAAGAAATATCAATTAAGGAGACATTGTTTTTATATGTATGTGTAATGAAGCACATCTGACTTTTAAAACATTTTTGTTTGTTTACAGTTGCACCAAATATATCCATACAAGGAATTGATAAAATTTGGTATGTGGGTCAAACAAACGTGAGAATCACCTGCACAGCCAAAGCCAACCCTCCTGCCCATGACTACAAGTGGATCAGGTCAGTGTCTCCAACACATTCCTGCTTTTACAAACAAAAACTACCACTTCTGTCTCTATAAACTCTAATGTTGCAAAGTTTTCTGCATGAGAACATTCAGCCCATTTGCACATACTTCTCCATTTTAGATTTAGCACCGTAAGCAGTTATTCTAATAAAGATTTGTAAAAGACTTTTGACAGATGATTCACTGGCAATCCACCAAAAGAAAAGCAGAAACCTTAAAATATGTTACTCTTTTATTCCAGGTGCGCAATCTTCTGACAGTGAAAAGCTCAATCTTTTCTGTGGTGTGGGGCTGATCTGTTGCCCAATTTTCAACTAACCAATTAATAACTTGAAAGCAACCAGTGCCTAATAGGAGGTTTTTTTATTTACAGAATTTAAGTTCTGGGTAGAACACATTTACACACAAATAAGTTTTTTTTTTAACTTAAATGCAAAATATGTAGATTTCTTGTGCAGTTTTTGGTCAATTACTGCTCTCAGTACATTGTTCCTTCAACAAAATGACTTTTTTTTAGTTCATGTAGTCTAGTTAAGAATTTCTCATTTACTAAATTAGTCTATGATTATTTCAATAATCGATTTATCATAATTAATCAAATTAATCATTTTAGCCTTACCTGTGAGCCTGTTTCCCTTGTAGATGCCTTTTGTACCGGGACATTTTATGTTAAAACTGGGTGGATTTATGTCTTTTAATTGGGAAATGATTCACTAAAGAGAAGACCAGACACAGGAGAAAGAGGAATGGGCAAAGATTCTTCTATTTGGATGCTGAAATCTCATGAAATATTGTAGAAAGTAAACCAAGTGCCTCCTTGTTGATAGAACCTGGGTTTGTACTGGGTATTCACAGCAACTGCACATTAACTGTGGCAAACATGATTTATTGTAAATGTTTTTTTATAGAATTGATAAAATGCAAAGTCGAAATCCTTTATTATTATTTCATGATACATTTCTAAAAGGTTATTCAAAAGATTTTACAGAGGAGTGCATAGACAATGAAAGATTGCTGAAAAGATTCTTGACATATTACTATATTGTGAAAATAAAGCGCTGCACACAGCCAGAGTTAGCTTGAGTTATCCAGGATCTCACTAATGCTTCCTGTTGGAGCTACATTCTCAAAAAGGCCCCAGATACTCATCATATGAAACTGTCTCACCAGGTATGGAGTCTGGAAAAATGTCCGAATATATAAATTCACCATGCCCTAAAAACTCTTGAGATGTTAAATATTTCCCTGTTGTATAACATGACAGTAAACACTTTAAGAATCATATTCAGGTTAAATCTTCCACTGGAGTGCAGTAAAAACTTCATTGAATATATTAGTAGTTTGAGCTTGTTGGCGGCTGGCAAATAAAAAGATGCCAAAATCTGCAAGTATTTCTGATATATGCAGACCAAAAAATATGTTCCACAACGTCAAAACAAACATGACGTGGAAGACAGGCTGCAGTCATTCCAGATTGGCTTATTAAACCTGCCTGGCTGTAAAAGAAGAAGTTTGTATCTATAAATTACTGATAGTCTAACCTTGGAGCCTGGACACTGGAGCTGTTGCATGTAGTCCTGAACCCTTTGGGAAGACTCCCTGCTATAAATAAAAGACTCTAAACGGTAGTTCCCACTTAAAGCAAGCGGCCTGTTGGCAGCTTTCCGTCATCATTAAAAGCTTCATGCTTACTGTTTGCTCTGGTAGGTCTGATCTTTTCTGCTTGGTGTTCTGTCACAGATTTTAGCTAAAGCTGCTTTATATCCACAATATTACATCTAAGAAAATCTCTTTTTTTTTCTTTGTTAATTTGTGCACAGATTGACAATAATGTAAATCGGAATGATTGTATCATTGTTGTTTTGTTTAAATTAATTGCGGTTGTTGATTAGGTTTTTGTAAAACATTTGTTGATACTGTAGAATAGGTGAACACTGAATTTGCGTGAGGTGATTAGTATATTCATTGTCCAGACAAATCTTTTTCACCAATGCTTTCCTGATGTCTTCTGAGTTGTAAAGCTCTCATTGTGAAAGTTTGACACATACATTGTGTTAAGAAATGTGATGAGGTATTTAGAGTTGTTTTTGATTATTACTTACTCCGTTTGGTAAGAATTGTTTTTTTCTTTTTCTGCAAATTAGAGAAAGAAAAACACAAAACTGTGCGTCAGCCAGAGAAGCACTACTTTAACATATTTTTGCTGAGGTGAAAGTAAAGTACTTTAAAAAAAAAGCTAGTCTGAATAACTAATCATTACATCTGATTTAATATTTCAAAATTAAATCAGACAGGCACAAGTTTTGTGCACCAAATTCTGGTATTTTATAAACTAAAATAAAAAAAAAAAATCCTCATCAGTTTTTCTTTCTTTTTAAAAAAAATAAAACTCAAGAAGTTAAGACTTACTGTAATGTATAATTATTATGGTACATTCAGTGACAATAAATTATGTTGACTTTTATCTTTTTGATCTACACATGGCACAACCAGCAATTTTACTCAAGTAAAAGAATATTAAGAAAAAGTGAACTGTAAATATGGATTTGAAGTAATTTCTATGAAATTAAAGTCAGAATTGTGAAGGTGCCCCATGCTTCCTTAACAACAGACTGTTAGTCTGTTGTTCTGTGTGAGTGGAGACTAATGAAAGTGTTTTATGAAGTGTTGTAAAACTAGTGCTGACCATTTTTATTTATCCCAAAAGTGTTTATCCCAAAAAGACAATTTCCTTACATCTGAAGGAAGAATTTATGGAATTTATCTGACATAATAATAGTTACCAAAATGCAACTCAATGTAAGATCGATCCAGTTGGATTTTTCTCTTCAGTTTTTGTCTGTTAAATGGCACAGACTAAAATATGTGGCCTCTGGTTTCTGTGCAGGTTGGATGGAGCCATGCCGGAGGGTGTTAAGATTTCAAATAACAGCCTGTCTTTCACACGGCCACTAGAGCGAAATGATTCTGCAACCTATCGCTGCGAGGTGACTAATGACATTGATCGCAGCACTCACAATGTCAACTTCTGGGTTCAAGGTACTTTTAACTTTTTTCTCACAGTTTGGTTACATATTACCAGATCTTCTCAACTTTTATTTTTGTTTGTTTTGCTCCAAGTTTTTCTCATGTAGGATAAAATCCAGTAATTAATGTCCCTAGAACAATTATGCTTTAGTGTAAATGTAAATGCCCTTGCCAGGATCCACTTGCACACATCCCCGGCAACAGAGGAGGAGCACGAGCCGCGGATAAAGAGTATCAGAACTGAACGTTTCCAGTGTTGTGGTTTTGGCAACATTAGATGAACATTAGATGACTCAGATAAGAAAGAAGCTGTTTATCCCTGCTGGTTCAGCAAAGTATTCACCCGTGCAGCCTTTTTACTGTGCTTTGTTAAGGTCAGGTTACACAGCAGGACATAATGAATTGGGTTGAGAGATTTGCAGCACACAGAAGTCTGTGTTTATACTCCATAAAACATCTTTGTTCAGCAGTAGATTGTGCCCCTACAGCACTGGAGCACCAGCAGTGCCCGATTATTTAGCTCAGCTCAACACCTATAGATTAAACTGTGAAGTAATGGGAGAGTGGAGTTCACTGACTCTCCAAACAGGATTTACTTTCATTTGAATTTGATCCTGTTGATGCAATTAGAAGGCTTTGTTCACGCATCTTGTTTTTTTTATATATTTGGCAATGTTGCAACCGCAAACCTCTCTTAAATTTGTAAGAGTTTTTTGTTTAGAATTTCTGTGTTCCTTAGTTTCTATTGGTGGATTAGATTAGCTCTGTTTTATCTTAATTCAGTCCCATAGTTGCTTTAGTTTTATTATCTTCCTAATGCCTAGTTATTGGTTAATGTTAGATTTGTTTTCCTAGTTACTCAGTTTAAGTGCTCTCTCTTGCCCCTGTGCCATTTTCCCTCTCTCTCCTCAGTCTCCCTTCCACTCTCTCCCCTCACACTGCAACCCGTTTCTGATCATCAACCTGTTCCTTGTTCAGATATTCAAGCTCACCAGTAAATATACAACTCATTCTCAGTCACTCCTTTGCTGGTTCCTCTAATTAAATCCCATTACTTCCCCTTAGATTCCAGACTGATTTTCTGGATTCCTATTTTTGTTTTTCTCTCTCCCCATGTTATTTTTGTAAGTTTTATTCGTCATTTATGTATTAAAACATTTTTCATCTACTTGCTGCCTCTGCCTTTCTGCATTTGAGTCCAGTGCTCCTGCAGCTCCACTCCTCCCACACAACTCACCCACTCAGCTCCTTCAGACTAGCCAGCAGCAATTCTCACCTGGAGGAACTGAGCATCTGCTGAGCTCATTATAGGAGCTGCTTCTCAGTGAAAAGCTGGTCAAAATATTGTTAATAGTGGAGGGTTAATGGAGGAGCCATGTTGTTATGACTTCATGAAAGCAGAGTTTCAGAAAGAGCAGGAGTTTTTAAAGAGACAGGCTCAAATTCAAGGTGTTAATTTGCGAAGATAAATTTATTTTGTCATATTAGATATTTGTCAAATATGACATTTTTATAACAAATGAAGGCAACATAGTAACTTCATAGGGTTATATACGATGTGCCTGGAAAATACATAATCTTTGAATAAAGATCATATGTGGAAATTTTGTGCGTCTTTTGACTGCATTACCTAAAGCCAAAAAGTTTAATTATTTCAATAAAGTGCCAGATTTAGATAGATAAATTTGTCTGTATGTGTCCATATAACTAACAGGCTAATCTGAACTGTTTTCTAATCTGAACTGAATTTCTACTAGACAAAATGAAATATCTTGGTTTATTTGAGGCTTTAAAAAAAAACAACCTCCATGTTCTCCATTGCTCAATACCACTGCTAACGATATCAGAGCATCGACCACAGCTTCTGCACCCTCAAGCCCCACCCATGTTTTCTGTCTGTATTCACACCCACTGTAGCGAGGAACATACTCTAATGGAGACACTCCTAACTTGACCAGAACCGAACCAACATTTACCGGTTAGAGTGAGACTCGATGACGGAGAAGCAGCAAAACGGTTTGTGAAGTGGAACATAAACTATACATCAGCCGGCATGTGGCAAAATGTTCAGGGGGGTGCAAATAGTTTTTCTGATTTACGTCACGATGAAACAAAACCTCTAGAAAACATCTGCTTCCTGTGTTTTTCTTAGGTTGGGTTCATCATTATAAAGTTAGGGCGTGGATCCTAAGAACTCTCCATTGCTTGTGTTGCTTTACTTTTCCTCACTCCTTTATAGTCTGCTTCTCTTCAACAGTAAACCCCAGTTTTGAACTTTGCTTTCCTCTTAACTATCACAGTCCTTCTGGCTTCTCCGCCATTGAGAGACCTTCAGGAGTCCCGTAAGGCGCCGCCAGGCTCTGTCTGCGAATGGTCTGCTTTGGGAAGTTCCTGCTCCGAATGAAAGCACATCTGACATCCTGTCCAGAACGGACTTGCACTGAGCAATTATCTTGTTTTTCTTGTCAAATCTGGAGTGTTGGGCATGCATTCTCTTGCCTCCATCCCCTGTGGAGATGACCCGTTTGAGCTCAATAATACTCCCTGCCCCCTTCAAGCATTTCACATTCCCATTACAGCTTTGCAGCTTTGTGGTTTCTACCCACTTCGCACACGGTCAGCTACATGGATTCCTAGTCCCTACATAGATTCCTAGTCCCTACATGAAATTATGCTAATTGAAAAAGCAAAATGAACTGAAAGCGTTTCAGTTCACCAACCTTATTCTGGGTCTACCTTTGCTTTCCCTTTTATCCCCGTGTGCAATTTCAGATAATTAGAATCTTTCTCCACCAATTGTGGCTATAATCATGGCTCTATAAGGGCCCAGACTATATTTTAAATACACTGAGGTTTATGACCTGCCTGTCAACCCATCAAGTGGAGTTAGACCTGCAGGCTCCAGGTCAGCATTGAGACACTAGTGTGACCTTGAGCTCCAGGCAGCACTGATTGTGTTCAGAAGAGCTAAAGGACAAAACCAGATTCAGGAACCTTGCATCGATCTCCCCAGGTTTTGTCTTCTCACATATCTTTCCTACGGCAGGTTTTAGAAAAGGAAGCAGGTAGACCATCTGTCTGTCTCTCATCCTGACACAGTCTGACATTGAACACTTACGGCATCTCCCAAAACTATTCATTCTGCTCCTTCACATTTTTATTGCATTATTATGACAACATTCAGTGTGTTGTGTTGATTCTGTATTCAGTCAAATTATTAACATTCTTTTGCACCTATTTTCTATTGATATTGATCATGTGCCTATCACAATAGATATTGACATTGTTTTATTGCCCAGCCCTTGCCTGAATATACAGATTAATTAATATTTTCCACTCGACCTCTTTCAGCCAGCAAAGCTAGCTACTTGGTTGCATCAACTCACTCACTCAATCTTTGGTTACCTAACAGCAATGTCCTGAATAACATAAGCAGTAGCATTTTGATGTTGTCCCCAAAATACCCTGGTATACTTCATTCCTCTTACTGACTGCAGACGTCCACCCGAAATGTCCACACAAAGTAAATGTTTACGCCCCAGAACCCGGTGACGCACTGATTCACACAGGAAGCCCCTCAGCAGGAATCAGCACTCATACTGAGCTATTTCGTAGGCGACACCAAGTTGACACTGCAGTGCTAGAAAAGAAACATCCATAGGTGCCCGACCAGCTCATCAAACTTGCTAGTATCGATTTGGATTGTGGGAAATGAAGAAATTTGTCACAAGAAATGTATGCAGTGGGTACACTCCACAATGAAACCTCACCCATCTGTGATTCACAGACTACACACAGTGTGCCTGAATATGTTGGAGAGGTTTTAGGTTTTGCCACCGTGCCTCATTGATGCTTAAAAAAAAAAAAGATTGGGCTGGAGCTAAAGGAGAGAATGAGTTCAACCGCTTAAGAGGAAATTGTGAATAAAAGAGAAAAGGTCACATCACCAGTTTGGCAGTATTTTGGATATTTAGAACAAAACCCAAAGCTGTAATCATTGATATTGAGAATGCTTACATTGACACTTTTCTCAGCTATATCGCCCTGTTCTAATTCAGGCTGAGGTTCAGTGTTAGTTTTTCTGCACAAGTAACATTTTGCAAGTGGGTCAAAATGTTTGCTCAAGTCTGACCAGAATATCTTCTTTCACATTGAATGTGTCCCCTACATGGCTTCTAAAAAACTATAAACAGGACTTCTAATAGCTTTTATTTCACCTTCCCATCATAGCCAGATTTAGAGGGTGAAATGAGTATCGGTTGTCCAGTCATCATTTCTACACCTGTCAGTCTGTCAGTGTGGATGGACATAATACTGTTCAGTTGATCATTTTATGCCACTTCACAACTTCACTTTACCATGAGTTGACTCACCACGACCCTGTAGCGTGTCAATGTAATATGACAAAATCTGATAAACATAAAGGTTGTGTGTGTACCTTTTCTGTACAGCTCTGCCGTAAGTTTCAGATCTTCAGTGTTATAAATTCATATAGCAACCACATTTGCTTTGTCAGTTGCTACAGGAGACAAAGTGCAGCCTTCCTCTGCTCCAGTTTTTATGACTCTCCTCTCACTTCATTCGCTGTCTTTTCTCTCTGTTTCACCTGCAGATCCCCCTCCCACCACCGCGGCCCCCAGCACCACTGCCTCCCCCATCCGTTATGCGTCCGGAACAGGAACAGACGTGGACCGCCGACAAGCCCTGTTCACCTCCCCCACCCTGGCCTCGGTTCACGACAGCAGTCTGGGCACCATAATCGGCGGGGCAGTGGGTGGCGTTCTCTTTCTGGTCCTCCTGCTGATCCTCGGGGGCGCTTGTTTTATGCGCCAGCGCAGGACCTTCAGAGGGGACTACTACACCAAGCAGTACCTGGGACCCTCCGACATGCAGAAGGAGTCTCAGATAGACGTCCTGCAGCCGCACGAGCTGCAGGAGGTTTACGGGGACAAGACCAGCAAGGGCAGCCAGGAGCTGAAACCCAAACTGGGCGGGGACATTATTTACCCCGACTATACTCCAGAGCGGAAGGACAGGGACGACTGGAACGACAGGGGTGACGGCCCTAGGGTCACAAAGGAGGGGAACTATTACCCAGACCACTACAGCAACCAAAACATGCACCCCTGCGGACCTCCAGTGCACAGCCCCATTGTTAACAATGGCTCCTCCTACCTTCCGGAGGACTGCTACGAAAACGGTACAGACAGCGACTACGTGTCGCACATGGACGGATCTGTGATTTCACGCAGAGAGTGGTATGTTTGAGGACAACTATGGACAAAACGGCAAAAATCCAAATGGGATTATGTCAACAAGTGACAGACTTCAAAGGATGCATCGTTTTATTTAAGAAGCAGAAATGACATTTCTAAGCTTTTCCATTGAGCTTCTTGAATGGTTTTGCTCCGCCTTGATTGTGACCACTTAACCTTAAGGATGTTTTCTGGGGATTCTACTTTCAAGTTTGTAGCGATGAGCTGCAACGAAGCTGGAATGCCTCAAAAGATATGATCTGTTTTTGCTTTGGCCTACGGTGACATGTCTGACCAATGTGAACAAGGTTTTGTTGCCCTCTGGTTTGTGTTTGTACCTGGTTCGTACACGGTCAGCTGTTCCACGCCCTCGTTGTCCAAGTATTTATTCTGCAGACCGAACGGGCTTTGCTCTGCTGAAGCCTCACAACTTCTGCCGCGTTTAGAAAGACTATCTCATGAGAGGTCGTTGTGCTTTTTCACACAAAAGTGAAGAGTTTATAATGGCTGAAACCAGTATTTAAAGCAAATTATATTGCATGCTTTCTAAAAAACAAAAGGTATCATTAAGTGAAAGGGAAGTTTACAAGATGAAAAGGGAGACTTGCTGGGGCGTCGTACAAAGGGTGAAGCAAAGCAGTGGATCTCAGTATGTAGCAGTGTAGGCATGGACCGGTATCAGAATCCCAGGGTTTCCTAACTGGAGGGGGAAAAATGGCACAACGTCATGCTATTTATTCAGAAAAGTAAATTATGATTGCTTTCATTTAAAAACAAAAAGCAACAATTTTTATAATTTTGTGGTAAAAATGTACCTTAAAGCTGCAATATGTATCTTTTCTGTAAAAATTTATTTATTTTTTTACATATTGATTCAAAGTGTTGCTATGTCGAGACAGTATAACGTGAGACAGATAATCGTTGAAATATTCTGGCTCCTCCCAGTCGTCCTACTGCCATCTGCAGAAGAGCAAGGGGGAGAATGTCAGCAGCATACACATAAGCGAGATTCACGGCGCTAAGACCCTCCTCCTGGCTCCAATTGGCTGAGTGGGAGCAGTGTGTTTCTGCAGATGGCTGTAGGACCACAAGGAGAATGTGGAGGAACTTGATGTTTTCATAGATCATCTGTGTTTGGACACAGTAGCAGTTTTGACAAATGTAAAAAACATATTTTTTTATGAAAGTGACATACTGCAGCTTTAATACAGGAGGTGGCACTCAGTTTTCTTTAAGTGAGGGAAAAGCATTGGAGTTTTTTTTTCTTTTTTTCAGCCAGCTGACTGGTAGGGCTTAGCAACAAGTGCAGGAGGGGCAACGTTGTGCTCTCTTTCTTTCTCTGGCATCATTTTGAAAAGCCCTTAAACTGATTTTTTTTTATTTTTTTTTTTGTCATTTTAAAGTGTTTTTAGAACTGTTTCACCCTGATCGCGGTACCAGCCCATTCCTAACACACACCCTGACTGACATGAACAATGTTTGGGATCATAACTCAGTCATCAGCCGTTCACCATGTCACCTACACACTCAAGAGATCACACACTGTGGAAAACACCTTTACTCTGTCAGCTGCTCCCAAAATTTCAACACCCACAGATGTCATAGCAACAGCGTTTTTAGTTTTATTTTTGGTAGTGCTTTTTTATTTTTTATTTAATTCAAAAGAAGTGTGCAAAGGACATAATCTCAGGTTGCTCTCTGAAGCAGTTTATTAAAAGATAAGTTCTGCCATCAGAGTCTGACTTTAAGTGTGTCAGACGGTCAGAACATCTCAGTCTGTGTAGAAGTGCAGCGCGTCACTGGCAGCTCCTCCTCGTCCTCCAGCTGCTTCCTCTCGTTGTTGTCGCTTCTTCGAAAAACTAACGGATAAGCGGATGAAAAAGCGATGATTGCAAGCGTTGACTGTGGCTGACTTTACGCAGAATAATCAATTTTGTTTCAATCTTCACTCTGCCTTGAACACTTATCAGCTTTGGCTTGGTTTGGGCTTTTTGTTGTTGTTTTGTTTTGTTTTTCTACCTTAGAAATCACAAGCACATATCTGCCAGAAGCTCTTGTTATTTTGTACAGGAGACAAAAGAGTTTTGTCCTTTTGTCTAAAAGTTGAGCAGGAAGCCAAATCTGTTAATTATCATCTATTTTTTTCTTCAGTAGCCATACTTTAGAAGTGCTTTATTTGTTAAAAGTGTCAGTGAACTCATTTAGACTATTGTCCATAACAATATTAATATTGGATGTTGATATAGGTCCAAATTGCTATACCTGTGCATACCTTTAAAGACAGTTTACTAAAGAATTTGAAAATAAAAATAAAATAGTCATAGACTTCTCTTTAGCATCTTGAATTAGTGCCTTTAATGGCAGTCTGAGAACCTATTCAAAAGAATTTAAACCTGACATTTAGTCTGAGACTTCCAGAAAACATTTCCAAATTCAACATTTTCTATAACATTGAAAACTTCAAAGAACCAATCAGAACACCCGCGGTGTGTTCTCTTCAGCCGTCTTCCTATCACCTTAAAATGATTCCCTGGTTCTTATAACTCCGTTCTGCCGCTGCCTTCACTTTCAAACACCTCGCTGATGCTGAAAATAGCTTCCTAGCTCTTCCTTACTCACTAATAACTTCCACACTCAAGAGTGTTGTCAGCACATCCAAGCTCATCCATCAAAAAAAACCCATTTCCTTTAGACAGTGGGCTGATCACAGGTTCATCCAAGCAGAAAATGATCTCATTCTGGGAACCATCAAATCTTTCTGTGCAAACTGATGAAACGATGCCTAATCATATGTAGGGATCTGGTAAGAAGACATCAGATCTGAATCCAAAACACTAAAGCCAAATCCAAACTGTTACACAGCGGTGGCTGCTATAGAAACGCCATAAATCTCAAGTTGTGTAAAACTGAAGTTTGATAGTAACTGAAACCAAATCTACAGACATGGCCATTGACATAAGATCATGCAGTCATAAAAAAAAAGTGCAGCTCTGTTATTAAACTTCACAGTAAGTTTCAGAACCGCCCCTGTTTCCCTGTTGAGGCCTGATACCGGGCTATGCTGCTGTCTTTTTCATTTTCCCTCCTGAATGTGTTCTGATTTCTGTCTCTAAGACCAATTGGCCTCTTTTTTTTTTCTTTTTACAACTGCAGATCAAAGGAATCTGTTATAAATACCAGATGGGAGTGATACGGCTGTCATCATCTGACATTATGTGGGCTGCGTAAACCACCAGCAGTTTTGCTGCTGCTGCTCGTCACTCTGCCGTCGCGCTTCAGGATCTCCAACTCGCAACAAAAAGAGAGGCAGAAGCGCCAAACGGATCCCTGGGTTTTTAGTTTTGTTTGAAAATAGGATTATTGAGATGTGAGCAGCTGACGTCACTGCAGAGCATGCCGTAATGTTGGGGTTTGGCTCCTCTCGAGGATGTAGAGCGGCCATGGAAACAAGAAACTTAATCTGCGAGTAAAAAAACAGAGAAATCTGAACCATGGAGGTCAGGGATGTATGTGTAATGGCTCCCTGTGGAAGAGATACATGTTTCTTTCTTTCCCCACAAGCAGCATTTCTTGTGAAACTAAGTTGAAACAAAAGAGCTGACATCATCAGCGATCTCATCTTTTCCTGCTTGGTTCGTCCCAACACTTTTCCTCTCAAAGCTTTAGCTTTGTTTCCTCAGGATTGATACAGAGATCAGTGGCCTTAGCTAAATGTCACCACAACCAAACAGAAAGGAAAGTCTTTCTTTTGCCAAACAAGTGTTGGTATCAGTCGAGAGCAAAACACAGGTATCCAAAACAATCTGGTTCTTTCTGACAATAAAATTTTACCCTTTCTTAATTCAAAAATTGCCTGCCAGAGCTGCAGAATGCTGAAATCATTTTACTAGAACTTGTTTGACACCAAACAGGTGTCAAACTGTTTGGTGTTTTAGATGTTCATCCAGTCTAAAACTGGATGAACATCGACTAGTTAGAAATAATTTCACTGAGATCTATCAGCCTTGAAAAAGTTACAGTCATGTCTCAGGCTTTGGGACTCCAGCTAACGATGCTATCACATATGGAACAGTGGTAAACCTTCCAGAATAACTTTTAAAGCTATCCAGGCTTCAGTTAACTCACTGAATGTGAGTGTTCCTGATTTCATCAAACTGAGCAAAAAAAGGCTTTCACGAGAAAGCTGAAAAGAACACTACAGCCTCTCTCACTTTAGAAGAATATTGTCACCTTCCTAAAATAAAGGTCTGTGTCATTTTTTGACATGAGGTTTTTTTTGGGGGGGGAGACGAGGTGTGGTTTGACTTAGGCCGTTATTTTAGGAAGGTGACAAAATTATAAAACCAAAGACTTTTAGACGGATATTCTGCGAGTTGCCTAAATAAAATGGAGCTTCCTGGAGGATGTGTGTCCTGTTACTTCTGTTGTTAAACTAATAAAATAGTTCATAAAAACAACAACAAGCGGCCCTCAGATGTTTATGGTGTGACGTTCGGGTGCTGCCCGTGCTGCGTCAGGACCTGACTGTCTTGCTGAGTGAACCGAGCACAACTGCTGAAGGAAAAGGTTCGGCTGACAGTTAGCGACACTAATAATCAAATGAACCTTACGAAGGAGAAAAATCATTTTCAAAATTAAAACAAAAGCAAGTGCACCTCTAAATGGCACAGCTAAAGAGCAACAAATCAAGTGAAGTTTTTGGAATGCCCCGGTCAAATTCTGGTCTTTAATTCAATTGAGATGTTGTGATATTAACTTAACTCTCCTGCGCTTTTACAAGACGAGGTCCTTCAAACGCTGCAAGTTTTTTACCCTGTGCACGGTTTGGCGGGATAGCACTGACCCTGCGTGCGCTTGTACAGGGTTTTATTTATGTGTGGTTTGGGGAATTGACGATCTGACCGGACAACCCTCTCCAACTAACCCCGCTGTCCGACCACGGCACGCTCTTCCTGGGCATGACACTAAGACTGCAGGAGGGAGGGTTAATCAGCCCATTTGTGCTCTCACGCCGTATGGGGCGGCCAAGTTAAAAACAAATCTGCAAAGAAGATTGGACCAAAATTACTCTAGAGGTGACATGAAAGACTTCTGGTTGCTGCCAAAAGTTGTTGAAGCCAAGAGCAGCAAACCAGCTCTTAAGTTCAATTGGCAATTCCAATTTCTGATTTAATAAATAAAATTACTTGCACAGAAAATGGATGGGTGAGCGTATCTTAGTCGGATATAAAAATTTGTTTGAGACATAGCTTTGTTTGACCAAACAAAGCAAAAATGTCGTAGCGGATTCAGGTCCATTTTTGTCGGGGGGGTTTGAAAGATTTCCGGCACAGGTCTCCGCCCCTGGTTTTCTCATGGCACGGCTCCGGGTCGAAGGGTTTAGATGTCTCAGAATAAACTCCTTTAATCTGGGCTCTCACTCGCGCCGTCGCCACACATCTGCCACTGCGGCCCCACATGGAAGGAGCCGTCCTCACCTCAAAACCTTCAGCTTTTTAATCAGCTTTTATACCCTCCAGCCTCGGTTTGGGGTTTAAAGCAACACCGATTTAATGGATGATTTTTATTTGTAATTTTTTTTTATTTTATTTTATTTTTTTACCTTTTTTGTGTTTTTCGTTTTCTTGCTCACCAACTGGTTGCATGTGCAGCTATTTGCTGCCAGTTCCATCACTAGTGTTTATATTACATGTACATATTACGTCTAGCGTTAGCATGGGATTAGTTGTTCTCTGTCGTTCTGGGTTTGTTCTGGACTCCCCTACTGAATAGCTGGTGCCTTAAATGGGCTGAGCAATGCACAGAAACTTTAAAAGCTAACAGATACTGAAAGCATTAATGTAAAGATTATTATTATTCAAAAGAGGGCAGATGTGCCTTTTTTAATACGCATACCAAATTTCATATTTAAGATTTGCTGTTGCCAAGGCAGCAGAGTTGACAAAAGGTTTATTATCATGCCTTACAGAGTTTAAAAAGGACACGTGTAACAAGTTGGTTACTGGGAAAATTGTAATAAAGCAATGTTTCACTGGGAATTTTGGCGAGCCAGGTTCATAGAAAATATTATTTTCCTGTAAATATGCTGGCTTTTTTATTATTATTATTATTGAAAAAAAATCTTATTTTTTTGTATGAGGTCGGTAATTTTCACAGACTATTAGTCGAGCTTTCAGCAGGGCTGCTGTCTCACAATAAGGCAGAGACCCGGTTTTTCACTGCATTTTATATACGTTGGTGAGAGTTGGTGGTCAGTTGTTTTGTTCGGCGAATGATTGAGGTCTCACAGGAATCAGAGATGAGCGGGTGGTAGATGTTTTTTTGTCTTCTGTTCTTTCGTTTGCAATAAAAAATAACGTCATGGTTTCACTTCAACGTCTCCTGGAGTCCTGCTTTCAGAGAAGGTTGGTTTGAATCTCTTTCGTAATTTGCTCTTCTTTCTTTTCAGCGTCTTAAGAAGCGGCTCAGAGCTCCAGAGTGTGGAGTTTAGATTTAGGTGCCACAGCCCTTCAGGTGAGTGTTTGACTTTGAGGTTTATGAGGTGAATCTTCTTCCTTTGTTATGCAGTCGATCAAAGAAAAAACAATAAATTTTAATTGCTCGTCTGTAGATGTGCTTTCCAGTCCTTTTTTATGGACCTTTTTTAACCACTCATTCACCCGTTACTCTACGCATGTTAGGCACTTTTCTAAATGTGCTACAGTAATGAGTATTTACATGGTACAAACCATTTGAGGCCTGAGTCATCTGAGCTGGCGTGTTTGTGTTTTCCAGTTTTTCTCATCATTGCAGTTTGACCTTGGAGTGTTTGCTGGGATGTCGACTCCTGGGAAGATTGGCAGCTGTCCTACGGCTTTGGGTTTTTTTCCCCCAGCATAATTCTCTCTCCTTCACAGTGAAACAGTGACCTTCAGTCATCATGGATTTGGAAATGCCTTGTCGCCCGTCCTGGGTCGATGGGCTGCATCACTGAACTCCTTCTTGGCATCTTTTCTACTTCACATCCTGACAACACACACCTGTGTGTTCCAGGTCAAAAGCCCTGCTTTCCCAGAGATCGCAGTTAACGCAGCGTCAAGTCACGTTTATTAGTGCGGCACATTTCATCAACAAGGCCTTTCAAAGCACTTTGTAACCAATTCTGAAACAGGCAATAAACATGTTCTGTCAAACTCCATCATTAAGATTGATCACCGTCAAACACATTGATCAACGTTCCAGTTATTAATCAAGGGAGGTGGGTCTCCAGCCTTGATTTGAAGGCTTAATATCTGGTTGTGGTTCTGGGGACACAAAGCAGAACCAGAAGACCTGAGAGGTCTGGAGAGCAACATTGATTTTAAATGTATTTTTATGCTAAACTGTTCAGTGATTTATAAACTAACAGTACTTTAAAGTCTATTCTCTGAGCAACAGGAAGCCGATGGAAGGACTTTAAAACTGGGGCGATGTGCTCCGTCCTCTTGTTAACATCGGTTCAGTTTTAAGTTCCGGACCGATGTTAAAAAAATGATTAATATCTCTGTGAATGCAGACATCAATAAACAGACAGTTTTTTTTTTGTTTTTTTTTAGATTAAGATTCATTTTTAGTCGTTTTAGGAAGCTGGTACACTCTGCATCATTTTCAAGTAGTCTCTGATGGGTGACATACTGGAGTCAAACAAAGGAGTAAATTTATATTAATTATATATATATAATATATTATATTAATGCTCCTCCTTCTCGTGAGGTTCTGCAAGGCTCCGTTTTCGGTCCTCTTCTATTTTCATTTCATTTGCAGTTCGATTTATCCTCCCACTGATGAGCAGTAAACCGACAGACCTGCTTCCCTCTGAAGCTTCAGGGTTCTGATGCCCTTATGACTTTATTGTCATGCGCTTTGGTCTCCTTATTTGGGCGTTTTAAAGTATTTTCATGATTATTTAAACAATAAATGAAGTAAAACTAAAAAAACAACCTTTTCAGAATGGACCTTAAATCACAATAGCAGCCCACGGTCTCCCGTAGCGCTGAAGGCTTTTTTCAGGTCACTACAGGAAGAAACATGCTGAGTTTCAATACATTAAAGCTTTGCTGAAATATTGATCTGGTCTGGTGACTATTGATTTCAGCTGGGTGTGACAGACTAATGGTTAGCAAAGACAAAGTTAAATCTCTGTTTTATGGCCAAGTGAGCCAAAGAGCTAATGTGCATAAAGTCAAATGTTCCTCGCGGCGTTTCATATCACCTCGTACGGTTCACAGAGTTCAGTCTGATGTCTGATGATGCTTTTTGTTTATGCTGCTGGTCTGGCCAAGAGAGTTGAGTCCATTTGCTTGCTTTTACATAAACAGGCCTCAATCCTGCAGTTTATTCAATCACTCACACAATAATCTGATAATTACTTTAAACATTCATAATCTTTTCTCCCGCATTAGTCATTCTGTTTCTTGTCCAATAGTTATTATCTCCTGCTTTCCTTTCATAAAATAAACTGTTATTTCCATGTTGCCGTGATTCGTGTGTTTCAGTTATTTTTAGTCTTGAAATACACCAGGAAAGCAGGACTAGAGATCCAAAACTTGTTCATGGTGTTTTTATGTTTTCACAATATATAAAGCACTTTGAATGGCCTTGAAATGTTCTATACAAATTAACTTGAATGACTGAACAGCATTGCTTTTCTTCAGCTGTGTGATTTGTGGATCTTGTTGGAAACACCTGATCCTGGCTGCAGGTCAAGCTTCATTCATCAGAGGAAATGTTGGAGTTCATCTCAATCAGCCAGAAAGCGACTGCTATTGATTTGAGGTGTGATTTTGTCAACTGTCCAAAAGAGTAAATCAACTTGTTTTGATGCTACCTCCCAACAAACAGAAGACCAGGACTGTCCCTGGACTGCTAACCGCAGGCGGATCAGAACAAAATGTGACAGGATGGTGATTAAAAACAGAAAGTCGACGCCTTTCTCTTTGTTTAAGGTAGAGTCACCGAATCCGGAGAGCATCGGTCTCTGTCACCTCCAGCCTCTTCCACGGTTCACACCCTGCGTTGGGGCTAAGTGACCCGTCGAGTGCCGCTCTCCATCCCGTCCACATCAGCACCCTGTTCATCACCGGCTCACCAACTCACGCCGGCCACCCACATCCACCCCTCGCCCCCTCGTCACCTGTCACTCCTCGGAGATCTGTGGTTTTCGAAACAAAACTGTGAACTTCTCACACTGAAATTGCGCCCTGAGAACACTCACAAAGGAATTCACAACGGCATCCCTAATCCAGGCCCTCCTGCTCTAAGTGCACGGCCCTAATCCCCAGAGTTAACCTGGCTTTGGAGGCGCAGCGCCCACAGTGTCGGAAAGGGTCGCTCAGGAAAGGTGACAATCGTCCCCTCCGGTCCAGATTAGGAGGCAGGAGAAGAAACCAGATACATAATCGCTTGTGGCATGCTAGGGGGAGAAATCTGCCCTCTTTTCTGGCTTCAGTGTGCGGCTCTGCCCCGGTACACTCACTCTGTTATCACCGCAACTGGGATAACCCCGGCCTAATCCATCACGGTTAGCATCTGCGTGTTTGTGCAGGCAGGGTGGGTAAATAATGCTGTGCTGGTGGGCTTGGGTTACGGCTTCTTGTTCCTTTTTTTTTTCTCACGTTTTGGGCAGATGGCTGCAAAGGAGTGGGAGTGAGGGGGATGGGGAGGATATTTGTTCTTTTTTTTTTTCCAGAGGTAATGAATCAGTCAGCAAATGTGTTTGGTTTTGTTGCCTCGTAAAACAGCAGCAGGTCCTTTCAGCGGCCTTTAAAGACCCCACCCTAAGACGGGAACGTCGGCGTCAGATCTCCATGGCTTCTTTCTTCCTCGTCTTTCACTCAGCAGCCTCCATCACATATGTTGCTTCACACCACATATTGAGAGAGAGGAAGAGGGAAAAATGTCCACCTCTCCAAAGTCTGAAGCCACCAAACAGGACCCGGAGCATCAGAGGGGAGTTCACATCAAAGGCGGTTGCTGACTGAGCTGCGGCGACAAGTTGTTTGAGCTCATGGGTTCGGAAGTAATGAAATGTCGCAGAGGGCGGGAGAGCGCTGAGCAGCTAAAACAAACCTGTTGTCACATGGCCCCCGCGGCCTCCGCTGGTCTTTGTCTCCATGCGACGCGTCGGAGGCCGAGGGACGGCAGCGGCCTGTGGGAAGGGAGTCCCAGTCATGGGTTTGAGCTCTGTTCATGTGGATGAGCGTCTCATTTTTGTAGAGGCTTCAGTGGATCATTTTGAGCGCGTAACCCAATGAAATAAAAGAACAGCAAAAGGCCGCAGACTGATTTTAGTGATTGAATTCAGAAACGTCTCGGTTCAGTGGAAGTGAACTCTGGTGCGGTTTGACTGAGCATGTGAATACCAATGATATGGAAGACGGTTCTAAAAGCAGGGAAGTGAACTATAGAGCAGGGATTCTGGGTAAGTACAATCAAAACTAGCTAGAAATGGACCAGGGTGTTTCACCAAAAGAGAAACCCTGCAATCATTTGTGAAGAAGGAAGTTGTGCTCTGTCTCTTCAGAGTGTTTCATGTCATTTTCTGACATGAAACCTGCGTCAGGGCAAATAGGGTTTTTTGAAGGGTTTGGTTTGTTTGATGCAGTGCTGTGTGAATGCGAACCGCACCAGCTGAAAATGTAGCAAATCTTGCTAATTTGGCCTCTAATGGAATCGAGCCTTCCGGACTATGAGGTGTGAAAACACCCTGCATGCACACCAACCAGCTTTGTTTAGTCAAACTCTAAACCATGGCTGCCAAGAAAGGACGGTTTGTTTTGGGAGGTGGGACTGCGTCATCAAACTAACTCCGGTCCACCTGAATCTCGGTTCGGCTGAAATGAACTCTGATGCGGTTCAACTGCATATGTGAACACCAAGTGGACCTGAGACCGCTCCAGAAGCAGGAGGCAAAGTGTAATGCAGGGCATTCTGGGTAAATACAATCAAAACAAACGATGCAAGTCTAGCACAAGCTAGAAATAGACTGTAGTGTGTCAACCAAAACAAAGAAGAGAAATCCTATAAGCACTCAAATTTGATGCCACTTTGAGAAGAAGGACGTTGCCCTCAGTGTTTTCTTCTGAGGTTTTTATCTCGTGGTTTTAAGTCATGCGGGAACAGATTCTTGAAAGGGTTTGGATCGTCTGACGCTGTGCCGTGTGGAAGAGCATAGAGGTGAGAAAACAACCTGAAATTCATTATTCAGCCTCATCACACGCAGTGATTTATTTCAAGAATGTTTCTGCTCATATTGATGATCATGGCTGACAGCACGGGTGTGCAAAGCCTGTCGTATGTTTCTGTTTGCTTCCCGGTTCGTCAGCAGAACTTTGACGTGCTGAGGAGATGCG